ATAGATGATTTACTTTAGCCTTTCGAATGGATAGCTAATATATAATAAAAGGTTTGAAAAAAAATTTTTAAAAAGTTTTATAATTTTGCTTTAAAATGCATAAGTAATTACTAAACTATAAAAATAAATATATATTTTATAAAATTTTATATAAAAATAAAGATTTATTTTTATATTTATATTTTGCAAATTTGGTATTTGAATTTTTAAATAATTAAATTTAAATAAGTTATATAATTATTTATATATCTAAACAAATAATATCTATTTATTTGTAAAATAATCAAATTTGTTCATAAAAATTATAGTTTTAAGTTTCATCAATTAAAATTTCACATTTATGACATATTTATTAAATAAAAGAAGTATCATTTACAAAACCTTATAATTCATTTTATTTAAATATTTCAGTACTAATATCTAAAAAGCTTTAAATTATATCTGGAACTACTTTAATATGAACATCTGTACTATTTAATAAATAAGGATTACTATTCATTTCTATTAAACTTACATTAGAATTTTAATCTATCATAAAATCTGCTCCAAACATATGAAATTGATTATAAAGGTTATATTTTTCTTGAAAAATTGCCTATATTGAAAAACTACTTATAGCTTTAATTTAATTATAAACATCATTTAATTTTTCTTTAGTATTTTCCTCAATATATTTAAAAAATAAAATATAAACAAAAATAAATAAATAAATATAGATATACTTTTAAATAAAACTCTTCGAAATCTTCTAATAATAAATGGACACTGTCTTTTAATTATTAATAATTAGGATTTTATTTTTAAGCATGTAAGTTTGTTAAATGCACACTAATATCTTCATTTTATAAATCAAAATCAATTAAACTTAATCTCACATACCCTTTTCTATATATAACAATTAATGGTTTTATATTAACCATCATTGGAAACATTCTAAAATCGAATTTTTTTTTATTTATGAGGAATGGATTTTATATATATTTTTATAAAAGAACATAATTATCGACCAAATTCTATTTATATTACACAACTTCTTTTTAATTTAAAATAAAAGAAAGTCCTTCTTGGTAACTTTAGAATAATTGAATCCCTTTTCCTCCATATCCACCTGAAGGTTTATAGATATATATTTATTTTTAAATTTAATTTTCGGAAAGAGAATTAATACTTTTAACTAAAATAGGAGGTTTAATAGAAATATCAAAAAAATAAGTTTCTTGTATATAATTATAAATATTAAAAGAATAAGTTTATTTTTGTTTTTAATTTAAATTATTAACTAGTTTATCTATAAGATCTTAAAAATTATATTTAGTTTGTGAAAACCAACCTTCTTTACTTCCCCAAACTGCTACTTTTTTAAACCGATGCCTAGG